CAAGGTCATGAGTTCAATTCCCAGTACCAGAAAAACAAAACAAAACAAAACAAAACAAAACAAAACAAAACAAAAACAATCTTAGGCAACAAGCATAAGGCAAGGGGCTTCACAATCCTTAACTTGAAATTATACCACAAAGCTACTGTGACTTAAAAAAAAAAAAAGTGTTATGGGCAAAAAACAGACCTGAGGGTCAATGAAACAGATTAGAATATAGAGAAACCACTATAAACACACTCAGACACATTATCTTTGACAAAGGGACCAAACAATCACTGGAAGAAAGATAGCCTCTTTAATAAATGATGCTGGAAAAACTGATTTTCCACATGCCAAAGACTAAAACTAGAACTATGTCTCTAACCATACACTAAACTAAAATCAAAATGGATCAAAGATATAAATATTAAAACTGAAACATTAAATCGCCTGGATGATAGAATAGGTAGAACTCTTGAATACATAGGTGTGGGCAAAGACTTCATGAGCAAAACAATATGAAGAATCAACAATTAGAGTCTCATCTTATTACAAAGCTTTTACACCACAAAAGAAACCACCAACAGAGTATAGAGACAACCTACAGAGTGGCAAAAAAATTTAGCCAGTTGTCCCTCAGACAAAGGTCAAATATCTAGAACATAAAAAGAACTGTAATAAATGAGTCCCAAAATTTAAAGATGTAATTCAAAAATGGCCATCTGAGATGAATACACACTTCTCTGAGCAAGAAATACACACGGAAAATAAACATATGAGAAAATATTCAACATCACTGGTCATTAGAGAGATGCAAGTTAGAACAATACTGAGATTACGTCACATTCCAGAAAAAATGGCTATCATCAAGAAATCAAGCAATAACAAATGCTGATGGGCTGTGAGGAAAAAGGAACCTTGATCCACTGTTGGCAGGAGTGTAGACTGGTCCAACCACTGTGGAAATCAGTGTGGAGATTCCCCAAAAAACTAGAGTTAGAGGTCCCATTTGACTGAACTATTCCTCTTTTATCTTCCTGCACAAATGAAAAGCATCGTACTACAGTGATATGTGCACACCCATGTTTATAGCAGCACAGTTTGTAATAGCTAAAATTTGGAAACCACACAAATGTCCATCAACTGATGAATGGCTAGAAATGGTGTCTTTTTTTATACAATGGAGTACTATTCAGCCATAAAGAAGGATATACTTGAGACATTTTCAGGTAAATGGATGCACCTTGGAACCATACTCTTGAGTGAAATACATTGGACAAACGTGTAGATACTGCATTGTTTCTCTGGTATGAGAAACTGAAAGTGTAGGTAACGACCAATGTGTATAACAGGTATTGTAAAATAGGAAGAAATTCTTCAAAAGAAAGGGGAACTAGGGTATGGAGGAGGACGAAAGGAAGAATGGAAAAAAAAAGAAGAATAAAACTGAAATAAAACTTTGTAAATAAGGAAGGGAAAAAGAATTACAGGAAGGGAAAGGGAGTGAGAAAAAAGAAATCAGTATTCATCACGTACAGGTAGAAATTACCTGTGATGAATATGATCATCATGTATATCTAAATTTTACAAATAAACATTATATAAATATGTACAAATTTTATATACATAGATACAAATGCACTGAAATTATTCTAATTTGTAACACTAATATTCTCTGAAATGAAAGTAGGTCACTGTGTGTGAGGAATACTGAGAAGCATTATCTTTCTTATTCTATATGATTCTACACAATCAGAACTTTATAGCTGCTTTGATTATAAATAGTATAAAATTTAAAAATATACACAGTGGTGCCTCTGTTCCTGAACTTAATTCTTCCTGCAATTCTGGCCACAAACTAAGTTGAACAAAAACTGAATCAAATTCTTTTTACTTTTTTATTGTTGTTGTTGTTGTTTCTCTTTTTTTAGTAACAGGAATCAAACTCAGGGCCTTGCACTTGCCAGAAGGCACTTACGCCACTGAGCTACATCCCCGGCCCCCAAATTCAGTGTTTGCTTCAGTGCTGCCCGTATGAGGAAATTCGATTTGGTCCTCATCGAGTTCAGTTTTCAACCAGAATTGTGGAGAGAACTGAGTTTGTGAATTGAGGAGCCACTGTAATTAATAAGACTCAAAAGAGGATTAAAATGATAGATATTGCTTTCAACTTTTTATTTCACTTATGTAAAGACTTTAATTGATGGTCCCTATGATATTTATATCAATAAACAAACAAATATTTATGATCTTATTAATAAAAACAGTGGGACTTCTGAAAAGATGGCAGACTGGTGAGCAGTGGAGAAAAAGCCTCTCTGAGATCTGGTGTCCAGAGGCTACCATGCAGCAGTGTAGGGAAGAGAAGGAGGGAAGTCGGTCCCAGGACACAGCAAAGCTCTGAAGAGAGAATTGAAGCTTATAGGGAGAACAAAAAGACTTCAATGTAGAAGATGGTGGTGGCAACAGTGCTTTCTCCTTGAGCCTGGACTCACAGCAGAGCAGGGGAAGCTCCAACCTGCAGACACGCACTCACTCCTGGGGACCCCAAGACTTCCACAGAGAAATGCACCAGTAGAATGGAGCGGTGAACACAGCAGACTGCAGTGGCTGGCGAGTTATTTGGGTGCAGGTGTCCCTGACAGAAGGACAACTGATGGATAGCTATCTCAGAAAGGAGCCAACTGAGTTCAGAACTCACAACAGCTGTAGGCCAGCTCCATCTAGTGACTCCCAGTGACAGGCCAGGCTGCTGAGCTCAACCCTCCAGGGAGTTGAGTTGAAGCTGACAGGAGGCACACAGACTACTACAGGCTGAACAAATCGGGATCCAGCCTCACAGCCAGAAGCCAGCCTGAACTTCAGTGACTAAATGTGCAAACTGGCTGGGATTGTCAGTCGACAATAAAGGTGACAGTCGACAGCCCCACCTAAAGGCTATGGCTGTCTTGCTGAGATTAATCAGTGTAGTTCTGGACTCTGTTTGCCCACATTGTCTATCAGAGACAGCAGAGACATGCCTTGAAGTGCACTTTTTTTTCTTTTTTCCCCTCTCTTTTCTTGTATTTTTTCCCTCTTAGTTTTGTTTCTTTTTTTGTCCTTGTTTTTCTATGAGTGCAAATGCAGCTTCTAGGTTTTTTGTTGTTGTGTTGTGTTGCGTTCTGTTCTTTTAATTTTTTCCTTCTCTCCCATGTGTTCTTCACTAGTTTCCCCAAGGTTGTTCGATCTTCCTTTTCCTCCAGCCTGGCATCTACTCTCTTCCTCTTCTTCTATTTCTCCCTTTCCCCTGCTACCCCCTTTTAGTTTTTCTCCCCTGAAGATAAAATTGCCATATCATGGGCTTATTTACTACAAACGATTTTCTGGTAATTTTAGACTTTGTTGTATAACCACAAATCTAGTTCATATAGTGAAATGTGGCAGATTAAGAGTTAGCATGATTTGTCATTTTCTAAGCTGTTTGATGCTATTGTTATTGCTGATTGTACCACTTTAGCCAAGGTGTCTTAATTATGCCTATCAGTTGTTCTTCCTAGTATGCTGAGACTGAGACTGCCTGAGGGTCATAAAGAATACTATAGACCAGTGCCGAAGAGCCAGGGTCTGGGCCGAATAGGCAGCAACTTCTCATCTCCAATAAACTGAAGAGACAGGATCTTCCAACAGACTCAAGACCCAAAGGCCAGCTACACCAGGAAGACACCTCTGAGAAGTAGTAATTTCCTAAGAGTTCCAAATAGAGTCCTACCATGTACTGAGTACATCCCTCTTTGAGCTAAATCTACATGCCTTAAGTCCACAAGTCTATGGTGAAGCAATTTATAATGTCCAGTAACAGCTGGGGAATCAGGCTGAGAAGTAATTTCTTCAGGCCACACTTAGTATGTAGCAGAATGATGTTCTAAAAGCATTGGGTCATAATTATTTAAATGTTAATTCTAATCACTCAGATTTAGATGGGTAACATATAAAACTATTTTTAGATGGTATTTGATGATAGGTAGCTTGTAAAGTAGAACTTTCCATCATCTTATGTCAAAACCCTAGGAGTGACTTACTTTAAATTACACATCTGCATGTAAACTTGAACACACTTTCTGACTGTAAAAAAAACTAGGACCTTTCTAATTTCCACCAAGGAAGCAGTTTAAAAAGGGCCTTGAGAAAACAGAGACAAACACAGACAAGACATGGAAACAAACATGACATAAGGATATAGAAAGAAAGAAGATTATTACATTAGAAGAACACTACATCATCTTAAAATTCTAAAATGTTATATGAAAAGAGAGCTAGACTTACTCTGTTTAACTCTGGAGACTAAAACAGGGTCTGCGGGAGAACATTACAGAAAAAAACAGATTTCAGAGCTAGTGTTTCCTTAAAATAAAGTGCTTCTCATGAAGAAGTAAGCTTTCCACCATTACAAGTGGTTTCTGTTTGTTTCATTTTTGTTTTGTGTGTGTGTTTTGTTTTGCTTTTGTTTTTTTACACCAGCAAAGTCTATTTGAGAAAGTAAAAGTGAAGAGTGCAGGAGAAACTGGCTCTGCAGAGTGAGCTTGGGCAGAGTAAATAGAAAAGCGGGTGAAAGCAAAGCTAAAAGGGCACGCTGCATCTGGAAACTGTGGGCTGTCGTGGAGAGCTATCATAGCACTGGAAGTGCTGAAACAGATTGCATACAATTGCTTATCTGAGAGTCTGTGAAAAGGACTCAGATAGCTAGTAGAACTAGATGAGCTCTAAGATCCCTTTTAAGAGTCTGTAGTTTGTACATTTTATTATAAAGAGTTTTTTCAAATATCACTTACCATCTTTGTAAATACAGCAGAATAAGGAATGCAGAATCTACTTCTCTGATATCACATATTACATTATTGGACGCATTAACTTACCCACATTGCCTTTAGTATACATATTCACCTTCCACACACCGATGGCATCAGTGTAAAGCACATCTTGGCTATGCTTTTTTTGGCCATAGTGAGGTGCCACTAGAACTCTACCTGTTGTTTGCTTACCTATAGAACTGCCTTCCTGGTAAACCCAGGGGGTCAATGAACGCCCTTTCCAGGAGCATCAGTTGGTCATTCATGATTCTCACTGCAATAGGACTTTGAGAACAAGGAAGATATAATTAAAATATTACCATGGAACCATGTTTAAAATAATACTAAAGATAATGTATGGGAAAATGAAATCAATAGATTTTTAATGAAATACATATGAACATAGTTTGCTTTATGTGGTAAACTACATGAAACACCAGCATTATCTTTCTGGCATTTATAATAGACAGAATCCTACCTGGGAAATGAGTTTTAAAGGGCACAGACTGATCAAATAGAACTGAAAGGCATTCTTTGCTTATCTATAGTGTAGCTGGACTTCTTGGAAAGGTAGACAGAGTGAACTTTCACACTGTACCTGATAAATCACTGTGTCCTACTGTGCAAAAAGATAGCAGAAGAAAGGCTGAGGAAGAGCAGTGAGTGAAGATTTCCGGAGCCGATAAGAAGGGCAGGAGATGGCTGCACGTTGTGCAAAGGGACTCATCATCACGCTGCGAATCCTCAGGTTTTCTTTTTGGGGGAACTAAACACATACCTCAAGCGCTTCTATAATCCAAGGGAAAAGAAAAGCTCCTCAAACCTACGGACATTGTTTCCTGAGCAAGTCAGAAAAAGTCAGTGCCATGTGGAACAGTGTGATTATGTGTTTTACTTGGAATATATATATATATATATATATATATATATATATTTTTTTTCTGATAAATACTTATAGTCACTGTGTTACCTGGAACTTTCCTGGTTCTGGTTTC